AATAAATACTTCATACTAATGACAACTTTCTATAATTATATAACTCTTAGATTAACAAAGTATGAACAATAACTTTCTATGTTTACTTTATAGTATATTGTGCCAATGTTTAAACATGACTCAAGTTTGTCTTGCTTGTTTAGCGTATTATATATATATATATATATATATATATATATATATATATATATATATATATATATATATATATATACTAATTTACAACTGCCAGATGAACAGTAAATGTTTCCTAGGTTGTTATTTTTTATTTATTTTTTATTTTTTTCTATAATATTTTTTATGATTTACTTTTTGTCAATCCCAAAAATGGGTATGAGTCGTAGGCTACGTGTTATGTTCTGCTGTAATGTAAAGATTGCTACGTGTTATGTTAGCTTTCCAATTACAAACCGATCAGCAGACCTCTACCTCCATTGCATTGCCACATGGTTCGTCTTTTCCAACACACTTTCTCTTACTACCCCGGTACCCTCTCAACTCTCTCTCATTTGTTCCTCCTCTCTTAAAAACCACCGCCCCAAAATCACATTCTTCCCCTCCCGATTTGTTCGATCGATCGCCCACCGAGCTCCACTATTTCGTCTTTGAAATCTCCATCGGAGGTTTTCGTTTTCTTTATCTCCTTTCCAAACTCTCTTACACTGTTTTGCCCCAAAGGTAGCACTACTCACTGCCACCACATGACCTCGACCTCCTAAACGCTACCACCACACATCGTGACCACCAGTTATGAGTATGACGGTGAAGATCCTCTACAACCATGGCTTTAGTAACTTCTATGTGCTTTTGTAGTTTTGTCTCCGATCATCGGATGTGCTCTGTGGGAAACCATTTCATGTTCCTGTGGTATGCTCGGTTCGAGTTTATAGTAGTCAATTTTAATGTACGACTTATAAAGTGCACATCATGTGTTTGAGAAAATGCTTAAATGACTAAAATGGTTTTTAAGTTTATAGCGCCTCATTTGTTTCGATTAGTTTTAGTAGTTTTTCATCTAATTTTGATACTACCACTTCTGTAAGAGATCATGAGTATTTTAATACAACTTTTACAACCTTTCACAGGATATTTTGTGGCAACATGATCACTAAAGTGGATTGTATAACCACTTATCTAGGAGCCCTTTGAATATTTTGTAGTTCCCAAGCTTTTATTATTATGAACTATTAGTTTAAGAAAAAAAAAGTATTGGAGAAGCAAAAAACAACTATAACTCCGTTGTATTATTCATGAAAAAGGTATTAGACAATTAAATCAGTTGATGTTTAGTGTTGTAGACTTATGTTTTTATCCGCATATATGTTATAGTTTTATACATATTCTTTGCAATTTTGAGACCTACCTCCTTAATGGTATAATGTTACAGTTGTATCATGTATGATGATCTTATGATGCAATCTACCATATGAATTCTTCCGATTGTGTCTGTGAGTTTGATACATGTTATTATAGTTTGTTACTTTTGTTACAGATTTTTGAGTTTGGTTCTTTTGTTACAGATTTGTGATTTGGCTCTTGATTCTGCTCCAAAATCAGATTGGCAACTTATTTTGCCATTTCAATTTGTTCATGGTGTTTCTAGGAGAAGTTGACCATCCAGCTGCCAAGGTGAGACATGTCAAATTATATATTTTATTTTATTTTAAATTTCTATATAGCCACTTTTTACTTTTGTCTAATTAAATATGTTGAAGTATTGTTGAATTGGCTGAGCTTCAAGATAAAGAAGTAGTAGATTGCAATGAAGATCTCCATTAACAGAAAATAAAGACCATGGAAAGAGATTAATTTCCTTCAATGTATCTGAAACTCTATTTTCACATGATCCTTATCTTACAGTATGTTTACCCACTTTCATACCCATTCTTCCATGTATCTCAGCTCAAAAGACATTGGAGTCCGACTTTGTTGTTGTCAGTTGCTAATAAGTATGTGGTGAACTAAATCCTAAGGGTATTATTAATACCCTCTAGTAATCAAATCGGTTATTACTTTGAGGTTAGTTCACTTGTTTCATTATTACAAAAGTAAATTCTGTTATCTAGGTTGCGAGTGTCATAACCGTACTTAGACTTGATATGGCACGTAACGGGGCCAGTATCTTTTATGACTTTGTCACCCGTAGACCTGACGGTCCAACTGTAGCTAGCAGCGAGGTGCGGGATAGTCAGTCCCGTATAGATCTATACACAATAGTCACGCTCTCCCTACAAGAGATTCTGGTTACAAGTGCTAGTCCTACACTCTCGAATCCGGTGGGAGTGTTACCAAGGACGTGTCTCCAACTTTAGACTAACAATTTGCATGTAATAATACCGAAAATCATGTTTATGTTTTGTATGAATCCTTTATAAAATATCACATTTTATGACAAGATTCATAAGTTCCTTGCTTTAGTTTTGAAAACTGTTTCTACAAGTTGGTTTCTTAATCGTTTGGTAAAACTGTTTTCTGTGTTAAAAAGCATACTGAACATATAATTATTTTAAACAAAATAATATACTTTGAGCACAAGTTTCCTTGTACTTTTGCTTGTATCCCCCCTGAAAACATATAAAACTCGGAAAAGCGTAGGGGTATGAACTCACTGTTTGACGTGAGATTCGAGTGTAAGTTGCTAGGAATTGCTGAGTGTCAAATAAAGCCTCGGGCACAAACGGATCCTATTTAGCATGTAAAAGTACATATATGCATTAGGTGAGGGCTTAACACTATTTGTTATGGAAGGAAATCATCCTAGGGACCAGGAAACACTTAAAACTAAGTGTTAGAATCACATATGATTTGAAAATGGGGAGTTTGCGGTCGTAAAAGGAGTGTACGGTCAAGGGTTTGCGGCCCAATAGGGTTTACGGCCCAAGTGTTTACGGTCCATGGGTTTACGGCCGTAAACACTTGGCGAAAAGTGCGATTTTCGGTGTTTCAAGGTCCTTTCTAGCCTTCTGGAAGTGTTCTAAGCCTCGTGCCCAGATCAAGGAAGAGTTTAAAGGTCAATAATCGACCAAAAATAGAGTTTACGACCATTGAAGGGTGTACGGCCGTAAACACCCAGTTCATGCGTTTCAGGTCCATTTTTAGGCGAAAATTGATGGTTTCTAGTAGATAACAAGTACAGATGGTAGTTACTTACTGTTAAGAAGCCTGGAATGAGGTTTTTAGCCACCAAGAACTAGTGTGTGTTCTTGGTGAGAGAGAAAATCTAGACAATGATGAAATTTAGGAGATGAGACATGGATTCAGCACTAGAATAAGGATAGAAACACAATCAAAGTGAAGAATCACTTACATTCTTGAGGATCCTTGAGCAATTTCGAAGTTTGTAGAGAGAGAGAGAGAGAGAGAGAGAGAGAGAGAGAGAGAGTAGAGAGAGAAAGCTTCTGGAGTGTGTAAAGTGAGAAATGAAGGCCACTCATCCGTTATATAGGGGTGAGTTTACGGCCAAGGGGTGGGGTGGAGGGTTTACGACCGCGAACAGGGTTTACAGTCGTAAACAGGGTTTACGGTCGTAAACTGAGTTTGCGGCCGTAAACTCCTCTCGAAGGGTTGTTTGGCCCGGATGCTATGCTTTGACTTAGAAAACCTCGTTTTTGAATCCAAAACTCGATTGAACGGAGTTTAGAATATTCCGTTAGACCAACAATAATACTAACGTGAACGGAAATAAATCCGAATTGATTTATTTAAAACGTGAAGTCCTTCCCAAACTAAGGAATTTGACGGAATTAAATAAAAACCTAAATTTTATTAACGGAAACTGGGTAAGGATAACGGAAAAAGTTTCTGGTTGTCACAAAAGAACACATTCAGTGGCACTGATGTATAAAATAAGAGTGAACACACAAAACTTTTCCGTTGTGTCCATTTTTTGGCGTTTCCATCCCCGCAAAGCAATGATTCTTCCCTAGTTTACTCTAAACTTGAGGTCGGGAGTACCACTCTTAGTCCTAGCGCATTTTTTCTTTTTAATTTATGCCCGCAGGCAATACTCGCCTTGCCTCAGATTCGACCAAGACCTGACCAACAAACATAAAACCTAACTCGCCAAAAATTCTGGCCCAACTAGGCCCCCTCTACTTTTTTTCTTTTTTATAGTTTTGGGCCAAATTTTAATTTTAATTTTTAATTTTTTATAAATTTTGTCCAAACTCTTTTAACAAAAATTTTACAAGTTTTTTTCAACTTTATTTTTATATATTTTTCTAATTTCTTTAACATATTACTCTATAATTTACTTTTTAACGAATTCATTTTTACAAAATTATTTTTTTACAACTTTTTTAAATATTCGTTTTAAGAGTATTTTTTTTCTTTAGTTTTTTTTTTTAACTTTTTTTGTACATATTCATTTTTATGCATACAAGGTTGTAAAAACATACATAAATTTAATTTTTTTTACATATTCGCTTTTTTACAAACTAGAAATGTCCGTGTTATCAAATATTTTTCAATGCATGATGTATTTAGTAGTACATGAATGTACTTTCCAATTTATGAATGTAATTCACATCATTTCCCATTTGTAGTTAAATCATTTTTAAAGTTTTCTATAAGTTATATATAAATATAATGCTATGTGTTATGTTTGATATTTTCTCTCTATTCTTTTATACTTAACATCTTGAACATCGACTAATATATTGAACGATCCAAGATTCTAAGGAAACCAACATCTTGGAATTATTATTGTATCTTTATATTTTGTGATGCCAGAATAAAATATTATTTCATAATGTGCAGAATGATATATTCATTTGTTTACAAACTAGAAATATCGTATTATCTAATACTTTCAATGCACAATGTATTTCGCAACACATGAATGTAATTTCCAATTTATGAATGTATTTCATATCATTTCCCTTTTGTAATTAAATCATTATATATACTATTAATCCTTAAAAACTTAAGGAACAATAATTTTTTTTCTCTTTCATGTTTGGACACTGAAGTTTCTTGGCTTTCTTATTTTGCCATTGGAAATTCTATTTCTCAGGGGAAAGCACAAACCGCCTTACATTTTCTCATCCTTATCTTTTCTTCCTCAAACCGGTTTTCGCCCTTCTCCTCCAATCAGATGCAAGCCCCTTGTCCAATCTTCTTCTACCTTCGTTGTGATTTATTTCTCTGTCTTTGTTTTCTCCATTTGGACCTCCCGCTTCCCAGTGATACAATTTTTTTTCGGATTCCCGGTCGACCGACTTGCTTCACCCACTCAACCTTAATCGATCGGGTCTTCTGTCTCATGCTTGGTTTCAAGTGAAGCTTATCAGCACCTCCTGTATCTCTATCAACCTCTCCCTAATTCGTGAACCCTAATTGAAGTGTTACTCCATGTGTTGAAGCATTTCATGCCCTAAATCTTCCCACCGCCATCAGTGTGACATGGGGATGAACATTCGCCATCATCAGATAAAATCATCCTCATATTCATGAAAAAAGGCGGCATAGGCGTCGTTGGATTTGAGGATGAACGCAAATGGAAACATGAGGTCCTTAGTTGATTGTGATTACCTTCCACAGTATGTCCATCATTTTTTCCCGCCACCTGCCTCCTCAATCCTCTTCCTTCTATCATCTGCTGTCTCCTTCATGTTGGTTACTTGAAAACCCATTCTTTGGTTTTGAAATTCAGGTATGATGGTACTTAGCATGCAGACGCAATTTTGGCTTCTAAATTTAAATATGAGCTGTGTTTTCCCCAAATTTCCTTTTGGCTCATTTCTAATTGATTGCTTCCAGTTGTATTAATTATCCTCTTAATTTTGCCTTCCAAGTGTTCGATGAAAGTACTAACTGAACTCTGTTGTTTGAAATATACTTTTTTTTCTAGATTTTCTTGCCAGTTTGATTATGTTTGTGCTGAAGGTAAATTGTTTTGATTTAATTTTAAAAATTTAAAAACGCTATATTTGTTACACAAAACTAAAACAAACGTATGGGTCTTTGGATTGAAGATTTTTAGGGTTTGAAATCAATTTTAATTCATTTTTTGGATAAAATAGGAAAAAATTTCATTTTTAAACTGATTTATCACACACTAAACTTAATTGTTCATTCTTTACTTAGAGGCTGCTAAAGTTGCTGAATCCCTTTAAAGCTTATTTACTCATAAACATTTTTGGGCAGGTGTGGAAACAAATGAGGTTTTGGAGAACCATTATGGTTGCTGGCATGATAAACAAGCCAATGTCGTTGGTTGTAAGTTGCCTTTTTTTTTATATCTCATAGATCAGAATTTTATAAAATTTGGCTTACATTCTTTATAATTGTTACACAAATTATAAATGGTAATTTTGTTGCAGGTAAATAATCATTTATTGGAAAGAGTAATCAGTTAATTGAATCATCTAGGAGGCCTAATTTGGTTGTAAGGTGCAAATTTTTATGAACCATGGCCATTTTCTGTTGTTAATCCATCATTCCATCTAGGAAACAACACAATATTAGTTACATAGATGAATTGCTCAGACATTTTTTACTGTTTAATTTTTGCAAGTTCTTCTGCTTGATTCTTGAATTGTAGACGAGCTTTCAAATCGTTGCTGAATTACTCAGTTCAGGTATGTTACATGTAGAAACAATCATTTTTATTAAGTAACAATTGTTTGTTTTGCCAATATTTACAGTTTATAACATATATTTTTTCGTTCAATTCCTTTTTTTTGATGTTTTTGGAAATATGCCAACAAGGAGAACGAAGCAATTTATACAAACTATATTTTTATACTTTTTATTTAGTAATATGATAATTAATTTTTGTAAATATAACTGTGTTAATACGTTTACTTTTATAAATTATTTATGTGATCAATATCCTTATTTAAAATTGACGACAAATATATAAAACTCTATTTTTTTAGTAAATCAACCTATAATATTTATACAAGGTAGTTAGTTATTATTTCAAGCATGTTACTGTTACACCACAGTGAAACGTAAAGGTTTCCACTTCCAAGAAAGAGGATTGTAGAAATGAAGTATTTGAAATAGAGTTAACATGCTTATGAATTAGAAATGGGATGTCTGGTGTGAAACTTTATCATCTTAGGTATGAGTAACTACTTCCTTCTTACATACCACACATGTTACCATCTCTGTACACTTGATATATATACATTTATTAATAGGTCTTAACCTTTTATGTGAAATTTCGTATTAATTTTTTTTAAAATTAGGTTGTATACTTGTATATAAATATCAAGATTTAACATAATGGTTTCATTGTATTACCTAATCAATTTTAATAGGTAGTTTAAAAAAACATTTTGTTGCAATTTGACAAACTGTAAGTCCATTCTTTTTAGTTTTTTAAAGTATAATGCTATTATGGACTTAGTTTGGTACCATACATTTTTTTAAAGTACAATACCTTTCTTTTTTGTTTTTTAAACTATAACTGCATACAATCTCTTGAATCATTTTATTAAAAGTTAGTTTTTTTAAAGTATTATGCCTATTCCGATTCACAAAATTGCAGAAAATGATTGATTGGTTGATTTGAAGCTGTAAAAAATAATCATGCAAATTGTAGAAAAACCATTACTTTTGCAGTTTGAGATAAGTTTCTTTCTTCAATTTTCATTATCTATTTGGGGGTTAGATAATTAGAAAAATACTGTTACTTAATTTTTTTTTCTTTCCCCATGTTTTTTGATTTTTACCTTACTTTAAAATGAAGCCTTTTTCAGCATTGATCCTTATTATATTGATTTCTATCACTTGTGCTTCCTAATTTTGGTTCTAATTTAAGAGGTTTCATAGTTTTTTTGTCGTTATTTCAAGGTTGTAGGAACCAAATTGAATATAAAACCTTTAATTTGGGAGTCGAGTTGCAAGTGGTTCCGGTTTAAGAATAAACATGGTAAGAATCATAAAGAACATGGACTATTCTCGTAAACATCCAAGTCCAAGTGGTATGGGTATTGGTAGAGCAAACGAAGGGTAATTTTTTTTTTTTTTTTTATATAATGGTGTTGATTTTTTTTTGTTGAAATCTTACATTTTTTAAGGTGGATTCTGCTTATGCAGCCAAAGAAGAAGGTGATCAAGCTATGTCTGGTTATCGAACTGCTGCACGTTTATTTCCTGGGTAATTTATCTTTTTTATTTTATTTAAATTAAAAAAAATATAATATTATCAAAGTGTAATATGATTAAATTATGTGTTTTTAATCTTTAGGTGTCACTTACCTACTTTATATATTGGAATGGAGTACATGCGTACCCACAGCTTCAAACTCGCTGATCAGGTGCTAATTGGTATACCACATTCTTAACAAAATGTCTAAAATACCCTTTTCTTTATTTGGTTTGATGTAATTTCTTTTTTTTTGGTTGTGTATATTTTTTTTTGAAAGCAAAGGCAATATGTCCTTTGGATCCACTTGTGTATAATGAGCTTGGAGTTGTTGCTTATCATATGAAAGACTACGCATTCTTTACTCCGTTCTTTATTTGAGTAAACCAAAAAATAACCATTTTGCCCTTTGGTGTATGTGGTATGTTACTTTTTCTACCTACAATCCAAAAATGAGTATTTTGTCTGAAAAAAGATCCTTATAGCCAGGTTTCGTTTCAAATTTCGTCGACTTTTGCTTTTTTTTAAATGACGCTTTTGCCCTTGGTTAAATTTTATAGGTATAAAAAGGTGGAATGGTGGCTTAAAAAGACTTTGGCTCACATACCATCACCATTAAGCGAAATGTGGGAATCAACTGTGGTTAATCTTGCTCATACTTCAAGAAAACTCAATTAAGTTCGCATTTCATTTATTTTCATAATCTTTACAATTTATAAAAACTTATTATTGTGTTTAGTTTAATATATATATTTTTTAAATATCAGGTTGTATAGTGAAGCAATTACATATTACGAAAAGGGCCTTGCACTATCTACAAGAAGCTTAAGCACGTACCATCCGAAAACAATGCTCAGAAACTTGAACGTTTGCTTACTGAATTCTTTCCTTATATATATATATATATATATATATATATATATATATATCATTTGATTGATTGTTAAGCTGCTATTGGTAACTTTGATATAGAGTCGATTGTTAACGCTTTAGCTGATTGCATGATTGATGCGAAAGAAAACTTAGATGGTAATGAATTGCAATCACTTGCAGATGTTTCGACAACAAGAAAACAAGCTACTGGTATGTTTTTTTTTTGTCTTTTTTTAATAAAAAATCTAATCCGCTCACTCATTGTCTATAATTTCCATCTTTCAGAAACTAAAATCATTTTGTGATTCCAATCCACCCGTGAATGATGCAGGCTGTAGGCTGAACGTGACAGACTACAAAAAGGTCCATCACTATACAATTCAGAATGGGTTAAAGCATGTAAAAAAAACAAATCAGGTGAAGCTGCTGAAAAACATTTTGAAGAAACTAGCGAACATGAAAACACACAGCTTATAGAAATGTTTTCCTGTCAAACTGAAAACCTTGAATTTTTTCATTTTCCCCGAATTGGCCCTTTTACTCATTTTTTACCAAAAAAATTGTGAAATGTCAGGTTTTTTTCGAGAAAAGCTTAAAAAGTTAAAGGTTTATTTGGAAGCATTAAGAAGGTTGAAGGTTTTTTTTTTGGAAAAAAAAATAACAAGTTGAGGTTTTTTTTGGGAAAAAATAAAAAAATACAAGGCCTTTTTCAGGCAAAAAATAAAATTGAGCTTTAATCTGGAAAAAAACCAAAATATCATTTTATTATTATTATTATTTTCTTCAGATTAACCCATTAATACAAAATAACATTATGTAACAAACAAAATACATTGCCTATATTGATAGCAAAATTTAAGTATGTTACTATAATAGATAAAATTGCAAGTATTATGCTATTCTGTATAAAATATAAAGTACATTGCTATTACCTATAAGGAAACACAAATGCATTGCAATTAGATGTAAAATGATATAATTACATTAGTTCTTTTTCATGGTGTTTTACTAATTTTCTGCCCTCATTTTTTTCATTGCAGCTTTTAGTTATATTCTGATGGTGCTTCAAAAAATCTTTCGGATGACCATGTTGATTTCTGCAGAGTGTCGGGTATATCATGAGATGACATATTTGTGTGCAAATTTACACTTTTGTCCCTGGAATCACGAAAATTTACTAGAGACTGCAAAAATGCTGAAGGCCATGCAGGAAATGGAAAACAAATATGACGAACTTATCAACAATCTCAAAAAAAAATCAAAAACCTCCCTGAAGACAAACATCCCTACGTGTAATATGTTTGTTTGTTTTATAATCTTTTGATATGTTGCCGCGTTCAACTACTTCCTTTCCTAAATTTCTATATAAGACCTATGCAAAAATCTCCTGTATGTTAAATATATCTTCATCAATATAATCCTATGTTGCAGTACACCATACAACCTGAAAGAAGAAAAAATAAAATGACTCAGCGCCAGCGGGCGCACATGATTCCCATCTAGTTTTTATAGTTTTCTATACGTTATATATAAATATAATGCAAATCATTTTTAAAGTTTTCTATATGTTATATATAAATACAATGCTATGTTTATGTATGATATTTTCTCTTTATTCTTTTATACTTAACATCTTAAACATTGACTAATATATTGAATGATCCAAGATCCTAAGGAAACCAGCATCTTAGAGTTGTTATTGTATATTTATATTTTGTGATGTAAGATTAAAAGATTATTTTCACAAGGTGCAGACCAAGTCAATCAAACACGAGGTCAATGAGAATAAACATTGAGTCTCCCCAAAATACATTGTTAAGCAAGAATAAATGATGATCCTGAATATTTAGTATAATTAGTTAGGTTATACATGTATAAAAAAAGTCAAGTTCATTTATCTTCACACACGATTACCCACTTACGTACACTTTAACACTCTCAATAGCTCTTACTCATATTACTCTCGATCAGTTTGTACCTGTAATTTTTCTGTTTGTTTCTAATAAAAGTTATAAAGGCAAAGTAACATTAGTTACCTCCCGAAGTTTTACGTTGTAGATCCTAAAAAGTTAAAGGCTTTCCTCATATATCTGTTGGGTTTTATTTAAAATTTTAGTTTCAAAAATAATAAATATAACAACAGGGGCATTTAAAACTTGAATAATATAAAGCTATTTTATAGCCACCAATGATCATTTTTCATGTATAGAAAGATTAACACAACCATATGAAAAAAATTACAATATTTGAAGTATTTGATTCCTTAATTGGTGGTTGGAACTTAATTGAGTGATGACAAAAGCACAAAATAGAACTCCTCTATAGCTTGACATCAATAATAACCACCTAAATTAGAATGCTAGTTCTTCATACAATAATAAAACTCTTAAACCTTTAACAACAAAACACTATATATATATATATATATATATATATATATATATATATATATATATATATATATATATATATATATATATATATATATATAATCTTATTAATTTGGTTACAAAGTTATTAAAGTGATTTTTGATCAAAACACTGTGTAAATTATATTTTTGACTATTCTATATACCACAGTTATTTGGTAGTTATTAAAGTTATTTTGATCAAAACACTATGTAAATTAACTTTTGGATATTCTATATATACAAACTTCATACACCATTACACATGAATATAGCTAGTAGTTAATAATAAAAGAGAACAAAAACAATAATATTGTATCCAAAATTGAAGGAAACATATACACGCAAATTGCAATTCTTCAAATTTGATCAAATGGAATGTTTTCCAAAATCATAGTTGATTTGAACTTCAGGGACCAAAAGAGATAGATTTCATACAGAAAGGGCAAAGTTAACACTACAAAAAATCTCCCAGAAAAATAAAAATATCTATCTACCCAGTGGCAGTGTTCCTTGCAATAATCTTTGGCCTTGCCTCTTCTTCCATTTCCGACTCTTATCTTCCTACATCTCCTTCCCCCTTCTTCTTGTTATGACTTCCGCTACAACATTTCTGTCATTCCAATTGCTTATACCTACATACACTTCCATTTCCACCCCATTAGGGCCAAATCCATATCCTAAACCCTTCAAAACCATAAACGTCTCTCGAATTTCATCATGGATTTCTCACAAAACCACCATTTCACCTTCCAAATCACTCAAATTCGTGACCAACACCTCAGATTGGTCACAACAATTGACACAAGAAACTGAACCAGTAGACGAAGAAGATGCAACTAACGAAGAAGGAGAAGAGGAAGAAGAATCATATTCAGAACCACCTGAAGAGGCAAAGCTTTTTGTCGGTAACTTACCCTACGATTTTGACAGCGAGAAATTGGCTAATCTCTTCAATTCTGCCGGAGTAGTAGATATCGCCGAGGTATTAATCGATTGAATCCTTTACTTTTCAGTAATTTCTTAATTAATTCCGTATGTTGCATCATGTGTTTACAGTGGTCGATTTGATGTGTGGTTTTAGGTTATATACAACAGGGATACAGAACAAAGTAGAGGATTTGGGTTTGTGACAATGAGCACAGTAGAAGAAGCTGAGAAAGCTGTGGAGAAGTTCAATGGCTATGTAAACTTTATCTTCTTCTCCATCCATCCATCTTAATTACTACATATTCACATTAATCTTGAATATTGTTATGAACAAAAACAGGATTTGAGTGGAAGGGCTCTTACTGTAAATAAGGCTGCACCAAGAGGTTCACAACCAGAAAAACGAGTGGTGGGGACTTCTTTCAAGATCTACGTGGGTAACCTAGCATGGCAGGTGGATAGTGAACGTCTGGAGCAGGCGTTTAATGAACATGGGAAAGTGGTCGATGCAAGGGTGATTTATGATCGTGAAAGTGGAAAATCACGTGGGTTTGGTTTTATAACGATGGCAAGTGAGTCAGACATGAACGATGCCATTGCTGCTCTTGATGGACAGGTATATTGCAATTTGTAAATTGCTACATTTTAACCCCATATGATGATATGAATGTATTTTTGTAACTTGTTCTTATTGAACTTGTGATGCAGAATTTGGATGGGAGGGCAATTAGGGTTAATGTTGCTGAGGAACGTCCTAAACGTAGCTTCTTTTGATTTTGATTCACAGGGTAATCACATGAGGGTGAAGTACTGAAGTTTGAAGAGGAGCTACTTCTTTTTTCATTTTTTGAATTGTTATAGATTATATAACATCTTTTATGTATTGTAAACTAGATTTAATGATGTTCGATAAGATGTTATATTTTTCAAGAGTCAGCCTTTGCTTTGCTTATAAAATACAAATCATTAACCATTCAGCACTTTATCATTAAAGGTTTATCCATACAAGACTTCTTGGTGATTTTAGTGTTATCTAACATATTTTAATGTAGTTATTATTAATTTTAAAATAGACTAAGTTCTATTTATTCACTGAGACTGGAAGTGCGGGATGCACACTCGAAGTGATAAATGTGAATTTAGGAATATGGTGTCTGGGGGTTAGAGCACGTAAACTTGGGAATACGGGGGTCCAGGGGGAGAGCCCTTGGCGGTGGTTCCACTGACCACCACTGCCGACCGATCAGCGGACGGGGTCAAGGGGAAGCGCCCCGAAACCTAAATGGATTTCTATAAAAGGAAAGAGTTCGGACATGCATTTTCCCACAAAAAATAGGTTGACATCAATGTGATGTAAGAATCGGTTATATCTTATAACTACCATTATAACTACCCATTTTGCCGTCATTTTCTATACAACCAACTTCCAACTGCCATCTTCCTTCTGTAAAAGTAAGATGGATGTTACATGGAAATGGTTAAAACTTTTGATACACGTAAACTGATTTTGTGAATTTATCTATCTCTTAAAACGTAAAATTGCGAAGTACTTTAATGTTTCGAATTTGAAAGTGGCTTGATGTAACATTCGTAAAATTCTTGAAAATTTTAAACTTTTTAAACAACCACAAAACCATTACTTATTACAATTTGTTTTCAAAATAAGTTTCACATCAGAGAAATCCCAAAATCGTAAAACAAAACATGAGGAGGTGCACGATCACGCCATCGCCTTGTCGCGATCCCCTGAGGTACCTGAAACACAATCCAAAACTGTAAGCCCAAAGTTTAGTGAGTTTTCCCCAAAATACCAATACATAACAAATAGTACAACTATAATAACAGCATGCAATGAGTCCACAACTTTATAGACTGAATTACCCCTGAGCCTACAACATAAGTCTGGCTTGCCCTATGGGCCCACAACTTATGCCTGGCTTGCTCCCCGGCCTGATCAGTCAACAGACTGAATATCGCTAAGCCCTCAATACGAGTCTGGTATGCCCTGCCCGACCCTTAGCTCGTATCTGAAATGCTCATGAGTCCTCAGTATGAGTCTGGCATGCCCTCCCTGGCCTCAACTCATATCTGGCATACTCTAGGGTTTGTTGGCTACAACACAAAGCAGTACTACCTCAACCCAACCCATACAATATGTCGACATATAACAGATAATATCATATACAGATAAACAAACAATATCCCAGGTAGTCCTACAGATCTACCAGACTAGCATATCAAGTCTAGCATGCATATCTATTCCATACTCAACATATCAACAAATATCAAGTTATCAAACCAATGGGCCGGCCTTGGTGTCTTCGACCCGAATACAGTGAGGAAAACTCACCTCACAAGTAGCTGAACTGATAAGATCTAACTCCGAATCTCAGCTCCCGACTCAAATGCGTACAACCACCATGTGACCAATTCCATTAAAACCCCAAAATATCCAAAATGCCCTCAAAGGTCAGCTTGGTCAACCATGGTCAAAATCAAAGTCAAAGGTCAATGAAACATCCCAAAAATATGGTCCAAAATTTTCATTTTATATTACCAAATAAAACCATAGTTATCAAAACATTTCATCAGACTATGAGTCACAATATCTCAAAACATTATTATCATAGTTTCCAAATCAAAACATCAGAGTAATCATCCCAGGCTAAACATAATGGTGTGTGCACTGCAATCATCCCGAACTCTTCCCTTTGCTACCGGAAGTACCTGAAACCAAAACTGAAAACCGTAAGCACGAAGCTTAGTGAATTTTCCCCAAACTACCACATACCATACACATAACATGCAACTAGGAGATGCGGGCCCCCGCCCACACTCAAGGAGATAAGGGCCCCGCCCACACTCGGCTATCTATGAGATACGAGCCTCGCCCACACTCATCTAACTATGAGATACGGGCCTCGCCTACACTCGGCTATCTATGAGATACGAGCCTCGCCCACACTCAGCTAACTATAAGATACGAGCCTCACCCACACTCGACAATCTACGAGATACAGGCCTCGCCCACACTCATCTAACTATGAGATACGGGCCTCGCCCACACTCGACTATCTACGAGATACGGGCATTGCCCACACTCTGCTAACTAGGATGTACATGCCTCACCCACACTCCGCTATCTAAGAGATACGGGCCT